GGTTTCACGAAAACTAGGGTTTCCAGACGTACTGCTTTTGGGAGTAAACGTACTCCTTTTTATTGCAATGTACTCCCTTGTACTCCCAAAAAGAAATATCTGGAAATGTACTCCTTTATTAGCTTTGTACTTCTTTTGTACTCCTTTTTCCAGCTGTTAATATTTTATCAAATAATATAATAATAACTAGCTTATACCCGCGGGTTTCACCCTGCGCTTTTATGCAAATAGGAAAAATAATTTAATGATGTTAGATTTTATTTCTGTGCCCATTTCGTTATAGCTCGTTATTTTCTAAGCAAGTTAAGGTATTTAGGCCGTTTAAAACTATGAAATTATAAAATACTCTCTCTCTAAGTTTACCTTAAAAGGTTTCCAGGTATACGACGCGTGAACGTGAAATCTTCTTGGAGGTGCCACGGCGAGTTCTAATATTTCCAACTCAAATTTAGTAACCTGGCCTTGATAAAATACCACTTCTCATTACTGTAGCAAATGCCCCAAGAGAGCTTTAGACTATAGGTCGAACCCGGCTCTCCCTTTTCCATTTAATGAAATTTATTCTGTCTTCCACAAACACTTCCAGGAATATGTGGCAAGAAAAAGTCAATTTGTACAGGAAGTGCCACGCCCATTTTTCTTATAACCCTAATCTTCTTCCATGAATTTAGAATTGATTTTACATACCCCAGTACCAAGTCCCAGTACTCTACCATGAACATCTCTGGAGATATGCAGTATAAAACAGTAAATTTGTACGGGAGGTACCATGTCCCCTTTTCGATTAACACAAATTCTTCTCTATGAGTATGGAATTAATTTTGTGTACACATCTCGGTGCCAAGTTCCAGTCCTCTGCAATAAACACCACCAGAGATATGCAGCATAGAAAAATCAATTTGCATGGGAGTTGCCACACCACCTTTTCCAATAACTCTAATTTTTCTCCATGAGTATGGTATTAGTTTCACATACATACATGCATACATATGTAATTCCATACCAAGCTTGAGTGCTTTACCCCAAACATTTGAAGAGATATGCAATATGAAACTTTCAGTCAGTATGGGAGGTGCTACGCCTCTTTTCCAAAAACGTCCATTTTTCTCCGTGAATATGAACATGATTTCACACAGTCTTGGCAAACTGTTAATCTGATTAACGATTAAAAATTAACGATTAAAATGTTAATCGCCTTTGACGATTAAAATTAATTAGTCGTAATCAACTGTACGATTAATGATAACATTTTTTTAATCGTTTAATTAATTTAAAACATTAATCGTTAATCCAATTAAAAATAAAATCTGATTAATTTGTCTAGTTTGTCCGAGTTTGAAACCAAATACCAGTTGTAGTAATTATTTTGTGTTTTACGCTTATAAAAAGCACGTAATATAAAAAAATAATAATTATTGTTATTAGTAATACATAAACTGGGAACTTTTACAAACCTAGTTTGTAAAACGTTTGTTGGTATACATATATCTTAATGAAAATGCACACCAAATTGCTTAGATTGATGAGGAAACCCGACTTAGCCATACTGGATTAACTTGCTTAGTGTGCACAGCATAACTTAATTAATCACCAAACCTACTTGATCAAATTAAGAGTTAATGATTAAATTAATTTTTTAATCGCGGTACGGTTAACTGTTTAGTCGGATTAAAATTAATCATGATTAACTGTAATCAGATTGAATTTAATCGAATTAACTAACTAATTAAAACATCAATCGATTAATGCCAACATTGATTTCACATACATATCACTATACCAAGTTTCAGTTCTCTCCCACAAATACTTCCAGAGATATGTTTGTAATATGAAAATTCCAATTTGTATGGGAGGGGCCTTGAGTTATCGGACTTACTTTAAGTCTAAGACCATCCTTCCGAAATCCGTAGTAAGTGTACTAAATTCCGTTCTGATCGGAAAACCGGTTAAGGAAGTAGCCTATTTTTCAATCCAGGTCATAAACCATCTTTGAGCAAAATTTAATTTTCAAACAGGTGGCAATTCTTAAAAAAGTAGCCTATTTTCCAGTCTAGGTCATAAGCTATCTGTGTGCATACTTTCATGCAAATCAGTTCAGTCATTTCCACGTATTAATTTAATTAAAGTTTCCTAATACGTGATAAAATAGTAGCCTCTTTGCCAACATAGGTCATAAGCTATCTCTGTGCGAAATGTCATGCAAATCTGTTCAGTCGTTTCCGCGTATTAATTTAATTAAAACTTTTTTAACAGGTGGCAACTCTTCCAAAAAATTTGCCTATTTTCCACTGTAGTTCATAAGCTATCTGCTTGCAAAATTTGATGCAAATCCGTTCAGTCTTTTCCACGTATTAATTGAATTAAACTTTTTTGGCAGGTGGTAACTCTTAAAACAGTAGCCTATTTTTCAACCTAGCTCATAAGCTATCTGTGTGAAAACTTCCATGCAAATCAGTTCACTCATTTCCGCGTATTAATTAAATTAAACATTTCTAACAGGTGGCAACTCTTAAAAAAAGTAGCCAACTTTCTAACCTAGGTCATAAGCTATTTATGTGCAAATTTTCATGCAAATCCGTTTAGTCGTTTCCGCGTATTAATTTAATTAAACTTTTTTAACAGGTGGCAACTCTTCCAAAAAATTAGCCTATTTTCCACTGTAGGTCATAGGCTATCTGCTTGCAAAGTTTCATGCAAATCCATTCAGTCATTTCCGCGTATTAATTTAATGAAACTTTTTTAACTGGTGGCAACTCTTAAAAGAAAATAGCCTATTAACCAATCTGGCCCATAAGCTATCTGCGTACAAAATTTCATGCAAATCCGTTGAGTCGTTTCCGCGTGATGATTTCCCAAACATCCAAACATACAAACTTTCACATTTATAATATTTATTAGATATTAGATAATAATAATAATAGATTGGCGCTTACACATATGTTAGTGTTTGGCCGAGCTTCTCCTCCGATTTGTGGCATGCGCCTTGATGTTGTCACACAAAGCGAAGGGACCTACAGTTTTACGCCGACTCCGAACGGCGATTGTATTTTTATGAGAAGCTGTTTTTCATGGCAGAAATACACTCGGAGGTTTGCCATTGCCTGCCGAGGGACGACCGCTGTTAAGAAAAAACCTTTTTTCTATATTTTTTTGCGATGTTGCTTTGACCAGAGCTTGAAGCCAGGCGTTGCGGAGTGGAAGCGCGCACTGCTTACCACTACACCACAGCGGCGACGAATATTTTATCAAATACAGGGTGTAAAATAATATCTGTTGCACATTTTTTTTTTTTAATAAATTATGCACAGATTTTACTAACATTTTGTTAATTTGTTTTTAAATTTCAACCTTCATTTAGGTTTACCGGCGGTAAAAACTTTGAGAGAAAAGCGCAAGTAAAAAAAGTAGTTGTTGTATAGTCTTTAAATTTAACCTTCATTTTGGTTTACCAGTGGGTTTGGGAGAAAAGCGCAAGTCTTCGTCGGTTACTTTATTACATATTTTCTGTAACCATAGGCTAATTTCCCCCATTTGGGTCCTTTATACTTCGTCTTTTGTCCAACATAAGGCCTCATACTCATCAATCGAAAAGACTCGAAACTGGTGACTAAGAGGGGATTCATTCGACCAACCCTATACAGGTTTTTTTTTCTTTTTTTATACAAAATCTAAGAAAACATAAACCTGAAAAAGAGATTCTAGCCCTGCCAGATAGAGTACGTTACGTACGTTCCGGCTTCAGCGTTCAACTAACAAGGCGTACGAAACGCATAGGTACGCCACAATGAAAGCGTTGTCGCATGTAAATAAGTGAGCTGTTTTGTACTGGCGGCAAATTTTTCTTTGAATTCAAAATATATCTATATTTTTAGTTGTGCTAATATTTGTGAAGAAGATACAAAAAATGGAAATAAGTGAAGTTATTTTAATATTGCTAATGTTGCTGGAAGCCAGAGAATGCTTTAACAGGCTTTATGGAGGCCGTAGATGGTGGGTGCGATCTCCTCTACAGAATCGGGACACTCACGGATTTTTCGCCCCGAATTTTGGATTTAGGGAGGAATTTAAGAAAAATATAAGGATGGAAAAGCACGTTTTTGAAATGCTTCTTAATTTTATTAAGGAAAGGATTACTAGAAACAATTCTAATAGGCCATCCATTTCTCCAGAATATCGACTTTACTTGACCCTCTGGTAAGTTATTCATATATCATGAATTAAATATTCTAAATTATAGTTATTTGGCTCACGGAGGAAGTAAAGAGTTTTATGCTTCTGCCTTTAAAATTGGACTTTCCACAATGAAGGAAATAGTGGCAGAAACGTGCGATGCTTTGTGGGAGATACTTGGGCCAATTTATTTGTCGATTCCTAACTGCCCGTCTCCACAGAATAAAGTTTATATCTTTATACATATGTTAGAATATAAATAGCCAATGGAGACCGCTCATTGCTCTTCAAAAGCAATATATATCAGAGCTTATATCTTGGCATCAATTGCCGGCAATTTGGTAGTTTGACAGCTACATGTTCAGTTGCATGAAAAGTTCGTGGCGGCAACATTATTGATA